AGTTTGGGTTGGGGTAATGGGGCAAAATCCTTTTTGGATCACCCCAAAACACACCTCTCCATCACCTAGGGACTCTTTGGAAGAAGTATGGGCAGGTCCCTGCTTGACCTGATGCCTGGTTATTGAGTGCCAGTCTGTGACCTGTCACCCACTCCTTAATACCTGGATGCAGAACTGACCCAAGCAGGGTACAGGGCCTGGGGCACATCAGCCTATGCGGGGCCCTGGCCCCGCTCTGATCCCATGGGCCCCAGACCTGAAGAAGCTGCCGCTGGTAGCGAGCGGCTGGACGTGGAGCCCCCGCTCCACCCAGCTCTGCGGTGCCACTGCCCCGCCCAGCTCTGCAGGGCCCCCCAAAGCATGGGGCCTGGGGCGGCCACCCCGATTTGTCCCCCCCTAGGGATGGCCCTACCTGGATGCTAAGTACATTGTGCCAAATAAGGATCCTATTTTGGGCTGGAATTATGGGGGAAAAACCCCTTTGGGTCACCCCAAGCCACATATGTCTCTGAGCAGGGGATCTCCTGAAAAAGTCTGGACAGGATGGTGCCCAACCCAAAGCTTGGTTTTCACAGGCCAGTCAGCTAACTGAGAGCCCCTCAGGCTCATGTGCCATGTAATCAGCACCAAATAAGGAGCTGAGGTTGGTCTGGGATTTCTAGACAAAATACTTTTCGCATCACCTTTGTTCCAGCAGCTCCTGTGGCCAAGATGGTTTCAAACATACTGGCACTTGCCTTTTCTTTAGATTAAAACAAAGCTGAAAGGGGGATGCTGGTGTGTGGGCAGCTCAGTGTCTCCATATACATTGCCTAGGCTTTTGCACCCTGGAGAGGTCACTCCAGCTTCACTTTGATTTTCAGTTCTCACCTGTTCTCATCTGTCATGCCAAGACATCAGCTCACTGAACATAATCCTCACTTGAAAGATATAGTATTATCACCAGAGTAGTACCAGTGTATATCTTCTATGTTCTGTTATTGGGTGGAAGAGTGCGCATCAGTAATGATAATTTATTTTTACAATTAATACCATATTTACCCGAATCCAAGATGACTTTGAATGTCAGATGACCATGCCAAATAGGTAGCTTCCACACATGGAAAATTACAGCAAATTATAGAATTCAATATGTTATAATTTTCCATGTGTAGAATCTAATTATTGAAGGATTGTCTTAAAACTGTCCTTAACTGGGGGGGGGGGGGGGCAGGCAGCCTGACCCCTGCATCTTTCTCCCCTGCCTACACCCCTGCCACCTGTCCCCTGATCCACAACCCACCACTGCCCTGTTCCCCATTCACCTGCCCCCCTACCTGATTCCCAACCCTCTCTCTGCTACCTGATCCCCATCACATGCTGACGACCAATCTTCGACATCTGCTGTCTTTGGATCCCAATGTGTGCTGCTGCCTGACCCCCAGCCTGCACCCTGTGTATGTTGCTGCTTCAACCTGTGACACCTACTGCTTTCCAGTCTCCCCATCTGTGTCATTATCCAGTCACCCAACACATGTTGCTTTTTGATCCCCTGCCCAATCGTGAGCATGGGCTGCTTCCCAATCCTCATGCAAGCTGCTGCCCCATCTCCTGCCTGATCCCTGACGTGTACTACTGTCTGATTGGGACCTAGCTGGAGACAAGAGTGCCAGTACTCGGGTCCAAGAGGAGGCATGTATTTCCCCATGTTGAATAAGAGGAAAAAAGCTCATCTTGGATTCAAGTAAATACAGTAATAATTAAATTAAGTTTGGAAAAATCAGTGTGGGTTTATATACAAACCATATGTTTCCATGAGAAAAAATGAAGGAAAGAAAATGTATAATGTGGTATTTCCTGTCAGGCAGCAATTTAAATAAATGTGCTTTATTTTACCTTAATAAATAACAAATAAGCAAAAAATAATAGCAAGCACAAATTAGAAAAAAATAATTCCAAACGAATAACTTCACGCATTCATAGTGAAAAGACACGACAGGGGCTTATCCAAAAATCCTCATATTGGCCTATATTTCTGTTTGGGAAGGCTATTGCTTGTTTAATAATAAAGTTTAAACATGAACCAAAAAGTCAAATAATGCAATTATGTCTCAGGTCATTTGAGTAGATTCCATGCTCATAGTGACATATATTTCAAAAAATCATATTTCTATACATGTGTATTCCTGATTATATTCTGCATGTTTGACTAAGGTTATGTTCCACAGTGAAAACTTTGTGTATTCCTTATTAGTATGCAGCAGGTACACAGGTCTGAAGAGTTACTCAAGCCTGTTTTCCCTGTTTGTAGTCTTGGGTTATACTGTTTAACGTTAAAATGCACAATTGGAAAATGCAGGTGAGAGAGTGTAAGGTGAGAGGCAGGTTAAAAGGCAGAGGAGATTTTGTTGCCCAGCCTTCCTTTTCAAATCTGCAAAGTCTGTTGTTGATACCAAGTTATACAAAGGTGACCAAAAGGTCAGCTCCACTGTAACCCATACAATAGTCTGCAGTGGGGTGGGCCTCAGTTTTGATGCAAAGCACAAGCATGGGCAAAGGGGAGAGATTCCAGACAGGAGTTGCTCCCTGGGCATCTTTCAGTTGACCCCACAGATTAAAAATGCTTCTGAGCACAGTGCTCTATAGAGGGTCCAGGTAATTCACTATAGTAAAAACAGCTGAAAAAAATCCCAGAGCCTGGCACTGATATAGAGCAGGACCTGAAAGATCTGGGGCTCCATGGCAACCTGGAGAGGACCAGCAGAAACCATTGGCAGGATGGAGGAGTGATAAAGACTCCCAGTGTGGAGGAGTGACAGATACTTTCAGCAGTGTGGTGGAGCAAGTGGTAGAGACCTCTGGCAGCATGGAGGAGTGGCGGAGACCCTTGGCAGAGCAGCGCAGACCCCTGGAGAGAGCATCCACAGCAGTGCTCCCTAGCACCACACCCTAGCACCGCTCTACAGCAGCAGAGTGATGGTAACTCCTGTGTGGGCCTCCTTTTTCAGCCTTTACCACCTATGCCAGCCAAAGTAGCAGAGATCCAGGAAACAGGCAGCAATCCTGGGCAGAGGGAAGCACCAGGGCCTCTGGGGTGGGCCTCCGTACCCAGCACTTACTACTAAGCTGGTGCAGGCGGCAGAGCCCCTGGATGGCAGCCCTGGGTGAGTCTCCCTTTCCAAGTGACTAGGCTAGGTGGTAACTTCCCAGGTTGGTTTACCACTGACTATGACTGTGATCAATTTTGAGTGACAGTTATAGATTAATAGTTAAGGTTTTGCTTAGGGTGTACTCTTGCTTCTCCTTTCCCTTGTAATCTGTTTAAATTTAACATTTGCTTGTGAGTGGGCAGGTCTGTCCACATTAGAATGCCCAGTTCAAATTTACTTTACCAAGTTTCTGGAACATTTGAAAAGTTGGTGTAAAACCTCTATATTTGCATGCAGCCATTCTTCCTGCCATGCAGTGCCTGGCAGAACAGCTATGTACAGGCCTTACAGGGTGGGTGTCAACTGGCAGGCTGGCACTCAAAACCCACTTTGGATCACCCCAAAGCACATCACCACTGAGGGACTCTCATGAAGAAGTCTGGGCAAGTCCCTGCCTGACCCAAAGCTCAGTTTTTGTCTCAATCCCAGCCTAAAAGCAGCTGCTTATTTATAGCAATGTAAATAGCACGGTCTTGGGGCTGGCGGTTGGCAGGCTGGCATGTAAAAAACAAGTTTTGGGTCAGGAAACACATGCTGGGGCTTCTTCACAAGAGTCTGCTGGAGGTGGTGACATGTTTCAGAGTGACCCAAAAAAGAGTTTGCTTGATAATCCCATCCAAAACCCAGATCCTTATTCAAGGCAACGTATTGGACAGGTCTCTGCCCAGTCTTTTTAGAGAGAGTCTCCCAATGGCAGAGACATGTGTTTTGTAGTGATCTACAGCAGATTTTGCCACATAATCTCAGCCTGAATGCAGCTCCTTATTCACAGCAATATTTAGCACATAGGCCTTGGGGGCTGGCACTTGGCAGGTAGGCAGTCAAAAGTTGAGCTTTAGGTCATGCAGTACCATGATCATATTTCTTCAGGATAGTCCTCTGGTGCCAGTGATGTGTAGTCTGGGGTGACCTAAAATGTTTTTTTCCTTATAATCCCAGCCCAAACTCAGTTCCTTATTCAGGCCAATGTTTAGCACACAGGTTTAGGGGGCTGTCAGTTGGCAGATTGGGACTTGAAAGCTGAGTCACAGGTTGCCCAGGGAGGGGCCTGCTCAGACTTCTTCAGGACAGGTCCCCAGTGGTGGAGATCTGTGTTTTTGTGCAAGTCTAACATGATTCTGCCCAACAATCTGGGCCCAAACTCAGCTCCTTATTCAGAGCTAAATACCCAGCATAGGCCTGGGTGAAGGGGTGTCAGTTGGCAGCCTGGCACTCATAAACCAGGCTTCAGGTTGGGAAGGACTCTGCCCAGACTTTTTCAGGAGTGTCTCCCAATCGTGGAGACGTGTGTTTTTGTGTGATCTGACAAGGATTTCTACCTGTAATCCCAGCCCAAATCCAGCTCCTTATTCAGGGCTAAATATGTAGTACAAGGGCCTAGGGGCCTGTGAGTTGGCAGCCTGGCATGCAGAAACTGAGCTGAGCGATTGTTGCATAATAGTTCCTTTTTCAACATATTCTGCTTGCCGGAGATGCTCAGAGACTATGGTTTCTCAATAATGTTCAAGTTTTATCAAACGAAATCAAATATATTACTTTTTCATGACTGATACTGCATATGTAACATGTTAAATGCTAGACCTTCAATCTACTTGATTCATGTAAACATACCTAGAGCTTTTTTGAAAGACATGAGAAGGAAGGAGTACCTCCTAAGTCTGTGGACTAGGCCAAGGAAATACAGCTCACTATTTCTTTGAAGGCAAAATGCATTTTTAAAAAACACGTATTTGAAACTGAAGACACAGGCCATTTTTAGAATAATTTAAAATATCACTTAATGAACTATATGCACCATAAGATTTGTATCCATATAAATGTCTCTTTATTTGATTGGGGAGCCTGTTAAATATGAAAAAATACATTATTTGTCTTCTGACCAAAGAAAAAACAACAGCAAAAGCAAAATTGAAAACAGGTTGTCAGGCTTGTCCACATCTCTCCTCTTTTCTTCAAAAAAGGATTTTGGCTATTTTATTAATTTAACTGGATTTTCATTTTTCCTTCCTGTAAAGGAGGAAAAAAAAGCAAAAGTAAATGCAGAGAAAATGGGTATCCAAGTACAACTACATTACTTCACCATGTGATAATCATTTAAATCCTTGCACCTCCATATCCACTATTTTCCAGTTGGGGAAAAATGATGTTCCCACATCTTCTTCAAGTATGTGCAAAAACATATATAAGTAACATAAATACAGGATAATTACTAATTACATGGTGCTCTTTGTCTGTAGGCATCCACTAGTTTTATACAAGCAAGAAATGAGACAAGCCTAAAGTTTCAACCACACGTTTCTACAAAGCTAAGGCAGGTGGGTGGGAATGAGTAATATTGTTTGAAAATATATTCTCTGCTTATTGTAGTTGCCCAGAGTCTAACTGTCCAGACTGGAATTTGTTTAATATTCACATTTACCACAAAGCATCAACCTTGCTTGATGAGTATTATCTAATAAACAGGACCATCTTAATTATGAAAATAGTTCTAGTGGCTTGCCTCTGTGACAGTATATTATATTAACAGAATAGTAATTTTTTTAATGCTTAAGAGTCAGACATTGAGACCTAGACTAGGAACAAATATTGCATTTATCCTTGAATAAGTTGCACCTGTGTTTGTCCTAAAACAAAAATTTCCCGTAATTGGTATCCACCTTTCTAATTGGAGTTAGTGAGTGAGTGGCTGAATGCAGTACCACTTTTCTGCCATTGATTTAATGATACAATCAGATGCACTTTGGGATATCCCAAGACAAACTGTTACTCTCTCTTATCCAGGAAACTTTTTTAGGATGTATCCCAGCATGACAGACATGGAAGTCTGTACTTTTGCACTTCTCCCCAGGATAAAATAGTTCATTCCTGGAGAAGTGCTATGTCTATTTGCAGCCCTATTCTCACAGCATCTTTTTACATGCCATGGCTCTTCAAACCACACATGCAGAGGATACTGAGAGAGTCATGTGAAAGTTGCAAGCCAGGAAGCAAAATCTCCTCATCTAAAGTTACATTGAGAAAGCAGGGTTTCCAGCAGCCCCAGACGGGCATAACACTGCTGTTGCTGGAAAAAGCTAAACAGTCCAGGGTTTTAGAAAGACCCCCCCCC